AGGTCACAAGAGGGCTTCAGATTCCCCTGGAACCGAACCCAGGTCCTCTGCAAGAACAGTCAGTACTCTTAACCGCTGAGCCATCTCTCCAGCTGCAGAGGACCCGGTTCGATTCCCAGCACCCACATGGCGGCTGCGAACCGGTCCTTACCTCTTCCGTGGCAGTGCATGACATGGGTGCACTCACATGCAGGCAATACACTCATACACATAACATTTTTTAAAAAAACAAACTTTCAAGATGTTTCCTCATTAAAAAAAAATTTTTTTTTGAAAATTTTTTTCTAAAGACAATGTCTTACTATGTAACACAGACTGGCCTTGAACTTGTGATACTTCTGCCTCAGCCCCGCAAATGCTGGGATTACAGGTATGTGCCACTGTTGGTCTCCAAAAATTATAGAACAGAAATAATATCACTGCATTTAAAGATATGTGTACACAAACATATTATAACCGTAAAAGCCTAGACACCAGTAAATTATAGAACAGTCTCAAAATGAAATATAAAATCCTCCAAAATTAGATAATGGATTGAAGCATGCCCCTCCCCCATTCTTGTCCTTTCTGGAACCTCAAAATACAACCTAATTTGGAAACCGTTTCTTTGCAGATATAATTAGTTATGATGCGGTCACAGTGATGTAGAGTGGGGCTTAAATCCAATCTGAAGGATGTCCTTATAAGAAGCAAGGCCACACAAAGAGACACAGAGGGCAGACAGCCTGTGAGGGATGATACAGGCAGAGGATGAATGGAGCCACAGGCAGGAGACTCAGGACTGCACCAATCACCAGCAGCTGGAAGATGTGCTGAGGCCCTTTGTGAGGGAGTGCCACCCTACCAGCATTTTTGTTCCAGAATTCTAGCTTCCAGAATTTGGAGAGGATAATTTCTGTTATTTTAAGGCATTCAGGCCAAGTGTGGTAGAACACACCTATAATCTCAGCATGTGACAAGTTATGGCAGGAAAGTCATGAATTGAATGCCAACCTGGGATACATAGTGAGACTCTGTTTAAGCCAGGTGTGGTGGTGCACGCTTTTAATCCCCACACTGGGGAGGCAGAGGCAGGCGGATCTCTGTGAGTTCAAGGCCAGCCTGGTCTACATAGTGAGTTCCAGGCCAGCTGGGGCTACAGGGAGACCCTGTCTCAAAAAGACAAAAAAAAAAAGTTTCCTCAATAAGGCACCATCATCCAACATCTGAAAACTCTAGTCCATGAGGGGCTGCTAAAGTAAAGAACACAGGAAACCCTGAAGAACCAGTCAGACCTCACCCTACAGCAGAGAAGCTACACAGGGCAAGGCCATGGTCAGCAAACATCTTCACCAGGGGGAGTGGCACATGCATTCAACCTCAGCCCATCTGGATTCCTGCCTGTGCTTCACCTTCACTGGGACTCAGAGGCTCAGACCAGCTGAGCATTGAGGAAGACACTACACCAGAGATGCAGAACCTCCTACTGCAAAGTTACATGATATCAGAGCCCATATCAACATGACGCCATAAGAAAGGAAAGAGTGTCAAAAACTTCTAATAAGATTAGGGATGGGGTGCATGCATGCCTTTAGTCACAGTACTCCAGAAGCAGAGCCAGGCAAGCCTGGTCTACATAACAAATTCCAGGCCAGCCAGGGGTACATAATGAGACCCTGTCTCAAACAGAACAGAACAGAACAGAACAGAACAGAACAGAACAGAGAAAAAGAAAGTAGAGAGAGCTCGACAGTTAAGAGCACTGGCTGTTCTTGCAGGGGACCCAGGTTCAGTTCCCAACACCTACATGGCGGCTAACAACTGTATGCAATTCCAGTCCCAGGGGATCCAATACCCTCTTCTGGCCTCTGAGGGGATTGTATGCACTGATGCACTTACATTCATGCAGACAAAACACTTATATACATAAAATAGAAATAAATTAATTGTAACAATTTAAAAAACTAAATTTTTAATACAACTTGAAACTGTACTGGCACCAAAAACCCAACAAATGCTACATAAGTCACACTATAATGCAAGAAAAATTTCTGCCATAGTTATCTAACTTTACATCAAAGATTCATTCTGGAAATCCTATGAACACGAGGACTGTAGGAAAGGAGGTCAGCCATCAAGTCACTTAATGAAAGTGATAGCACATGCAGCCCTGGGGCTGGAGCTGGGGCTGGGGCTGGGGTTTGGGCTGGGGTTTGGGCTGAGGCTGGGGCTCAGTGGCAGTGTGCTTGACAAGCACGTGTGCTACCAGTCCATTTATGTTAGAGTTCTTACATGTCTTCCTTATTTTGATCATTTATGCTCAGGAATCAATTACAAATAGAAGCAATTGTGGCAAAATTGCAGCAAATTTAGAATGCCTCATTAGGCAGGGATGTTCGTTTAATCATTTTCCATGAAATAAACTTTCATAGTGCTTTTTTGTGGGAGACAGGCTTGAGCCTAGGGTGCAAGTCTTATTGACAGCCATACAGCAGGCCCTACTGCTGGAGCCACAAGGAACGCCTTGTGACATCTGCTCCCATTGGCAGATCATGAGACTGATGCCTAGAGCTCACCACTCCCTAATCACCACCCGAGATTCCCAAATTGCAACTTAGACAGCCTGGGTCACATGGTTCCCAGGAATCCAGGCCCCCATAAGGAAACCGGAACCTAAGTAACCTGAAACCCATTATGCTAATGAGGCATCTGACTTGCGATGTCAGGATAGGACACAGTCCTGCCAAAGATCTGAGTCGTAACTTCTTGATTGGACCCCTACCCCTATATAAGCTTGTGCCCTTCTACAACAAACTGGATCTGTGTCAATGAACCTGGTTTCCTGTGTCTGAATGGGGCTCCACTGACACAGTCTCCTCACCAGCCCTGGGGTCTGGGACCAGGCAGAAGTAGTGACGACTGGAGGCAGCGCCACAGCGAGCAGAAGAGGGGCCCCAGCACCATGTGAGCAGAACAGCTGCCCCAGCGCCGGGCGAGCAGAAGAGCGACCACAGCTTATGGCCTCAGTGAGTAGCGAAAGGCAGTGCCCAGAAGGCACCTCCTGTGCAATTGCAGGTGGCACCCGTGCAATCAGCCCCATGGGAATGGAGAGCAGCTGCAAGCGGCACCCGGAGACAGCACCCAGCACGGGAAGAGTGGAGGGGGCGGCCACACTTTTTGCTTGTTTTGTTTCAAACAAGGTCTTATTATATAGCCCTGGCTAGCCTGGAACTCACTATGTAGACCAGGCTGGCCTCCAACTCACAGAGATCTTCCTGCCTCTCTGCCTCCAGAGTGCTGGGATTAAAGGTGTGCATCATCATGCCCAGCTTTCACAGAACTTTCTCTTTTTTTTTTCCAGTGCTTTATTTTTTAAGATTTATTTTTATCATTTTAATTATATGTGTCTGTGTTAGGTATGTGTACAAACATTCAGGTGTTCTCAAAGGACAGATGGTATCAGAGTCTCTGGAGCTGAAGTTGTCAGCCCCCTGACATGGGTACTGGGAACTGAACTCTGGTCCTCTGGAAGGATATGAATATGCTAGTGCTTTATTTTTGCAACAGGATCTTGATCTGTGGGCTACAGTGTCTTTAAAATCATAGTGTAGCACAGGCTGTTCTCATGTTCCTCCTTCTCTGTCCTCTTATTGCCTGAATTAGAGGCTTGTGTCACTGCCCAGCCACAGATTCCGTGTTGTCGTTGTTTCCCATACCTTCACATGTTTATTCAGCTAGTTTTAAAAAATTTATCATTTTTAATTTTATTATTTTAATAATTAAATTTTTATTTTATTAATTTAATTTAATTTTTTTTTTTTGGTTCTTTTGAGACAGGGTCTCCCTGTAGCTCCAGCTGGCCTGGAACTTGCTATATAGACCAGGTTGGCCTTGAAATCATAGAGATCTGCCTGCCTCTGCCTCTGAGTGCTGGGATTAAAGGCTTGTACCACCATGCCCAGCTTATTATTTTTATTTTATGTGTATTAGTGTACTGCCTGCATGTAAGTGCACCCATGTCGTGCAATGCTCATGGAGGTCAGAAGGGGGTGTTGGATCCCCTGGAACTGGAGTTATGGATGATTGTTAGCTACCATGTGGGTGCTGGGAATCAAACCCGGTCCTCTGCAAGGGCTGCCAGTGCTCTTAACTGCTAAATGCTTCTTTTTTTTTTTTGTCTTTTTGAGACAGGGTCTCCCTGTAGCCCCAGCTGTCCTGGAACTTACTATGTAGACCAGGCTGGCCTCGAACTCACAAATATCTGCCTGCCTCTGCCTCCCAAGTGCTGGGATTAAAGGCGTGCGCCACCACGCCCAGCGGCTAAATGCTTCTTAAAATTCAACTATGGGCAGAACTGCTACACTCTGGAACACTAAATTAAGTGAACTGTGGCAGAGAAAGAGGAGGTGATGAGTGAGAAAAACCTAGTCAGCCCAACAGGGTGAGGAGCTGCTTGAGGAACCAGTTAGAAGCAAGCTGTCTGGGACACTTTCAGTAAATCAACAGCTCGTAATAAATGATCTGCTATGGACAAGGATCCCAGGAAAGAGGAGGACCTGAATAGGCAGGGTCAGACCTTTTCAGGGACATTCTTCCCTAACATGTGTGTCCTGGTATCAGGGCATTTACATGTGGCTCCCACCAGATGTGCTTCTCTGGCAAGTTTCTTGATTTCTGTGAGCCTCGGTTTTCCTATCTACAAAATATGAATAAAGCCTATCTCACAGAGTCTTAGCAAGAGTTCAACAAAACAAGGCAATACTGGGAAGACAGCTCTTACCAGATACCAATAAATATCTGATAAGAGTTTTTCCATCAAACAATGCCAAGAAAACTGTCTCGAGTTGGGCATAGTGGCTCAAGTCAATAATCCTAGCACCCGTGGGTCTGAGGCCAGCCTGGGATACACAGCAAGTTCTAGGATACCTAAGCTACATAGTGAGACCCTGCCTCAGACAAAGAAAAAAAGAAAAAACAGCAGAGAATAGTGTATCTCATAAGTAGTAAATGCAGTCTTCTACCTGGAAAGGGTGTGTCTTCATTGGATCCTTGCAGAGAAATGACTTTATTTTCTGGCATATACTTCTTGGTAATAGGCAAGGACATCAGTCGAATGTGGCGGATGAGTGAACGCCAGGTATGAGCTCCAGAAAGCACCGGCTCGGGTGCTAATGGGCTGAAAGGTTGAATCACAAAGTAGGCAGTGAGCAAGATTAATCCCAGAGTTAGGAGGACCTATAAGGAAAGACAAGGCTGAGATCAATAATTGCCCCAACAAAGTACCCTAATGCTCAGGAAACAAAGGCCTCCTTTCCAATGTACCTAAGAACTCATCCAATTTCACAAATAAGCCATTTCCTTCCGTTTTTTTGTTTTGAGACAGGGTCTCACTATTTAGCCTTGACTGACAGGAATTCACTATGTAGATAGACCAGGCTGGTCTGGACCTCACAGATATCCACCTGGATGCCTTCCCAGTGCTGGGATTAAAGGTGTGCACCACCATACCCAGCAACTTTAACTTTTGAAGGCATTTGAAGTTTGAGAACTATGAGGATCACAAGGCTCATCAAACTTCTATCACCCAATTAGAAGTCATTAATAAATACAATTACAGATTAATTAAAAACAATCAGCTTTCATTTATGCCGATTAACAACATAGTCCTTATAACACATGATAAAAACAGCAAAAGCTAATGTATGCACAGAAAAGCCCAGATTTGGTGCTGGGATCAGTTAACAGGAACAGAGGGGTTGGAGGGGAGGTGGACAACAGACACACTGAAGCATCTGAGATCTGCTCTCCAAGCAAGACTCTTACCTTGTACATGGCTATAAGGAGAGGGTACTGGGGTGGTCTCCTCTGAGGTTCATTCTTTTCCAGCAGCTGCCTGATAAACTTTTCTATTGCTTTCTCTGACATTCCACACTGATGGCCAGTCTGTCTCACCAAGTCAACAGTCTCTGAGAGTTTGTCATAGATGCTGATCTCATTAGCGGCGAGATCCATGTCTTCCAGCACGAAATCCCTGAGAGAGAAAAGAGAGAAATGACGGTGTCTCTAGGGTACTTCCTCCTGAAGGCTGCTTCCTTCCCACAATGTTTATGGACCTTCTAGAGAACAAGTTTGTATTTTTCCCCACAAACTACAACAGACAAAAACTTTTATCATACACAATGAGTATGTTGAGACAATGTCAAACTGGTATATACACAACTTATAAAAATAATTATTATTACTGTTTGTTTTCTATTTTGAGATGGGATCTTGCTATGTTGTTCAGGTTGTTAAGAGAGCTCTGGGGCTCAAGCAGCCTTCCTTCAGCTTCCTCAGTCAGTGGTGGGATTACAGTCCATGTCACCATGTTCAGCTTATGTACAAGTCTTAAAATGTTACTTAAGTATGCCAGGTGAGGTGGCACATTCTTGCAATCCCATCACTCGGGAAGTGGAGACAGGAGGTTCAAGGCTAACCCTGGCTATACAGCATGTTAGAGGCCAGCCTGGGGTACATGGATTCCTGTTTAAAAGAAAAGTCAGGCTGGGCGTGGTGGCGCACACCTTTAGTCCCAGCACTCAGGAGGCAGAGGTAGGCGGATCTCTGTGAGTGCAAAGCCAGCCTGGTCTACATAGTTGAGTTCCAGGCTGGCTGGGGCTAAAGGGAGACCCTGCCTCAAAAAGACAAAAAAAAAAAAAAAAAAAAAAAAAAAGAAGAAAGAAAGAAAGAAAGAGGAAAGTTAAAAAAAAAGAAAAGAAAAAAAACAAAACAAAAACAAGCTCCTTAACTGTGAGCTAGTGACAGTACATGCCAGCTCTGACTCCCAAACACTCAGAGGAACACTGGTCTGCAGCACAATAAATCCCTAATGATTCTGAAGCACTACTGGCATCCAGAAATTTCTGAGCCCAGCCACATTAGCTCTGCTAGTGGTCATTTACAAAAATAAAAATAAATGGAATGCAGTCAATGACGCGGATCACTATAGCACTTGGCTCTTAAAGCAACCCAGAATAGAAACGGATTGCTGAAGGTACAGTTCACTGTGAGGAATGTGCTGATAAACTGTTTCTGGCCAGAGCAAGGATTGCAGACGACACCATGGCGGGGGAGTCCTTCACATCAACAACATGCAGCCTCTTAGCTTGGAGCCCACGGTTACAATTTTAGACAATAAAGAGCATTTGTATTTTACACACTTGAGACTAAGATCTACACTAATTTCAAATTTTTATTTGTGTTCTCATAGTTATTTTGAAATCATATCATTTCACAAAGGCCACAGAATGAACATTGAGTTCTCGTATCATTTGCAAAAATAAAATTACATAGTAGTTTGTTTTTTTTTTTTCAAGGAACGGCAGTGCTTAGGTTTTGTTTTTTTCCCTTAATTGCACAGGGTCCCTATTTGCATACTTCACTTCCAAAGTGGTTCTAACCTTGAAAAGCACTCATGTGGTGCATGTGTATTTCTTCAGTAAGATGCTGCCACCTTCAACGTGCAGGACAGTCAAGTGGCTCAGGCAGAGCGCAGAGGCCTGAACGGCCACAGCCAGCACATGCATCAGTGTGGCTCCTCTTCCAGCAGGGCACCTCCTGTGTACTCCTTTTTATGCCTATAAACACTCAGTTCACTGGGTCTGAAGTCAGCCTGCACACTAGAACCACCCAGAGAGCTACTCACTTAAATCAGAATCACTGTGCTAATGCTATACCAACAGGCATGGAACCAGGTGCCCACGCTGTGCTCCTGTTGCCATGACCTCACCCACACGTCTGACGTTTGATCACAGTGGTCCCAGAGGATGTGGTGTCTCACTGTGGCTTTGATCTGTATTTCTCTGTTGGCTGAGGATGGTGAGCATCCTCTCACCTTGCTACTTGTATATCCTTTTACAGGAATGGCTCTCCTTTGTGCTTTCATTGGGTTGTCTTTTTATTACTGACTTATAAGACTTCTTTATTATTTTGGATAGTAGGTCTTTATTAGCTCTGATTTTCAAAGATTTCTTCTATTCTGTGGTTGACACCTCCCTTGTTGGTAGTACTGGAGACTGAACCCAAGGCCTAGCTTCATTTCACTTTTTTTTTTTTTGGAGACAGGGTCTCATGTAACCCAGGCTGGCTTCAAATCTAATGTACAGCAAAGGCTGTCCTTGAAATCCTAACCCTCAGATGTGTGCCACCACACCAGGCTCCACCTCACTTTCTTTTTGAAACAGTTGTTTTTAAAGTGTGTGGGGGGGTGGTATACAATGCTGGGGAGTGGACCCAGGGCTTCATATATGCTAGGCAAACAGTCCCATACCCTCAGCCCAAGATCCATATTTTGAAATAGAATTTGCACCATCCTTTTATTTGAGCTTGAAATGAAACCTCATACCGTCTTTTTATCTCCTTTTTAAAATGATTATCATTTTAAAAAATTTTATTATTTTTATTTTACATGTACAAGTGTATTGCCTGCATGTATGTGAGTGCACCCATGTTGTGCAATGCTGCGGAGGTCAGAAGAGGGCTTCGGATTCCCCCGGAACTGGAGTTAAGGATGGTTTGTAGTTGCCATATGGGTGCTGGGAATTGAACCCGGGTTCTCTGCAAGAGCAGTCAGTGCCCTTAACCGCTGAGCCATCTCTCCAGCCCTGTTTATTCCTTTTGGGAGGGGGTAGCTTGATTCGTAGCCGCCATGTGGGTGCTGGGAATCAAACCCGGGTCCTCTGCAAGAGCAGTCAGTGCTATTAACCACTGAGCCAGCTCTCCAGCCCCTAAAATTTTTTTTAAATTTTATGTGCATGAGTGTTTTGGCTGCATGTAAGTGCACCCATGTCATGCAATGCCTGGGGAGGTTAGAAAAGGAAGTCAGATCCCCTGGAACTATAGTTACGGGTGGTTGTTAGCTGCCATATGGGTGCTAGGACTCGAACCCAAATCCTCCGCAAGAACAGCCAGTGCTCTTAACCACTGAGCCATCTCCCCAGCCTCCCATATTCTTTTAGAAAAGCACTTTGAAAATGAGTAATAAGTTATGGGAGATGAACTGCTTGAAGAGGCAATACACAGATGTGTGCTGAACTGTGACATTTTGGACCTCTTTTAATCAATCCAAGCTACATGACTATTGTCCTGTCCTTCAATTGGCTGCATCATCTACCTTGAAAGGACATACATGTGCTGGTGTGGTGGCATATGCCTATTTTCCTAACAGGATTATCCCAGGAGGCTGAGGCAAAAGGATCAAGATTTTGAGGCCAACCTGGGCTATATGGCATGTTCCAGACTAGCTGAGCTGTACAGTGAAACCCTGTTTCAAGAAAAGTCCCAGTGTGGTGGAGTATAGCTTTAATCCCAGCCTTGGGAGGCAAAGGCAGGCAATCTGTATGAGGTCCAGGCCAGCAGGGCTACATAGTAAGACCCTATCTCAGAACCAAACGAACAACAACACGCACCATGTCAGTGCTTTTGAAGTTAGAACCATTTTGAGAAGGAAGTATGTGAAATGAGAGGAAGTTCAACACTTTTTTAAAAAAAGCTTCACTGTACTGCACTTCCAGAAATGTAAAATGGTGCAGCCTGTGGAGAACTTACAATTCCATAAAGTTATACAATGAGTTTACATATGTCATACAGCAATTCCACTCCTGGGTAGGTACCCAAAGAGCACAAACACATGTCCACACAAAAACACAAATGTTAAAGCAGCATTATTCATCATCCTAGAATAGAAGCAAATCCCTATGTCTGAACCAATGAATGCAGGAACAAAATGTGGCAGATCTGCTTAACAGATTACTGCACACTAGAAAGTGACTGCGTATCATGCACACTATGATATGAATGAGCCCTGAAAACACTGTGGTAAGTGAAGCAGACAATCACAAAGACCACATAATGCATGACTGCATTATATGAAAACAAAGAATAGGCAAATCTATGACAGGAAACAGATTTAACAGTTGCCTAGGGAGAGTGGAGACTAGAGACTGGTGGGCGATAGGTGGGGGATTCTGTCTAGAGTGACAAACATGTTCTAATCTGAAGTCAATTATGGCTACAAGCATTTTAAAATTTTTTGTTGTTTTGAGACAGGGTCTCACTAGGTAGCCTTGGCTGGCCTGAAATTTGCTATATAGACTAAGCTGGCATTGAACACACAGAGGTCTACCTGCCTCTGCCACTGCCTCTGCCACTGAAGTACTGGAATTAAAGGTGTGCACCACCATGCCTGGCGTTTAAAAAGTTTTTGTTTTGATTTATTTCATGTATATAAGTGTTTTGCCTGCATGCATGTAAGTATACCATCTGTGTGTGTGTGTGTGTGTGTGTGTGTGTGTGTGTGTGTGGTATCCCCTGAAACTGGAGTTTTGGATGGTTGTTAGCCACCATGTGTGTTGTGCCTGAACTCTGGTCTTCTGCAAGAGCAGCCAGTGCTCTTAACTGCTCAGCTATCTCTCCAGCCCCACATATATTTTAATGCATATTTATGGAATTTGAACTTATCCCTAACGTGGCATTTCTTATTTTACACTGTGTTCCATCTCTATTGCCCAGCCACTAGACTCTCAGGTCTATGAGAACAGGGTGACTTACTATGGGTCAATGTCTGGCATATAAAAAGTATTTGCAGAGACTTAATGACAAAGATCAGGACAAACTAGCTGGGGATTGGGAAACAAATTCTTTTTATTTTATTTTTTGATCTTTTTGAGATAGGGTCTCCCTGTAGCCCCAGTTGGCCTGGAACTCACTATGTAGACCAGGCTGGCCTTGAACTCAGAGATCTGCCTGACTCTGGGATTAAAGGTCTACGCCACCATGCCCAGCTTAGGGAAACAAATTCTAAGAGGATTCTTAGAGAAATTCATCTACAGGGCTTGGCATGTAGTTCAGTTAGTAGAACAGCTGCTTAGCACCCAGCACTACATAAAGGGGAATGGGACGGGGGAGACAGAGAGATGTACTAGAGTCATCTGGGAAGAGGAAACCTCATTTGTGGAGTTATTTTCATTAAACTAGCCTATGGCCACATCTGTGAGGCATTTTCTTAATTGCTAATTGACATAGAAGGGCCCAGCCCACCGTGATCAGTGCCATCCTTAGGCAGGTAGACCTGGGCTATATAAGAAAGCTGGTTGCGCATAAGCTAAGGGAAGCACACCAGTAACCAGTGTTCCCCCAGTCCACTTCAGTTTCTGCCCCGAGCACTGGCCTTGAGCTCCTGCCCTGACTTCCCTTGATGACAGATTATGACTTGGGAGTTGTAAGATGAAAACCAAGAAAGCTTTCCTCCCCAAGTTGCTCTTGGTCAGTCTTTTATCACCACAACAGAAAAGGACACTGACTAGAACACTGCATGTGCTTATCAGCTATAAAATATTTACAACTAGTTGTTAATGTAGATGATGCAACAAAACAATCATTAATTTCTAGGTGAGGAAATCATGCTCTGACAGCAGTCAGTTTTTACCTGAGCCATGCCCGGCTCTGTTTAGAAACTTTTAAAAATTACCATACATAAGCACATTACTAGTTGTACATAATGTTAACAGAAAATGTGTGACTTTAAAAAACTCACACATTAGGCCGGGCATGGTGGTGCATGCCTTTAATCCCAGCACTTGGGAAACAGAGGCAGGCGGATCTCTGTGAGTTCAAGGCCAGCCTGTTCTATATAGTGAGTTCCAGGACAGCTGGGGCTACAGGGAGAACCTGTCTCAAAAAGACCAAAAACAAAAAACAAACAAACAAAAAAACCTAACACATTAAGTCATGGGTAAGCAGTGAGCATGAAAGACCTAGTGAAATGAGCTGAGACTTGATGATAACCCATTTACCTCCAGAAAGAAGGTCCAGCTCTGGCAGAAAGGAGCTTTGCCACAGAGGGAAGGTCTGAAGAACAAGCTGGACTCTTAACAGCGGTTTAAACCTGCAAGGGCACAGGCAGGATCACCATAACAATCACAGCAGTGTGTCCCACCCTGCACATGCACAGTCCCCCCGTTACCACGGAGTATAAGTTTCAAGACCCAAAGTGGAAGTCTGAAACCACACAGTAACTGAACTCTTATAAACACAAGTTTTTTTCCATACTTACTCATGAGTAAGTTTAATTTACAAATTAAGCACATTACAATAGCAAACTAATAATGTAGAACAATGGCAATACACCTAAAAATAAGTTGTATGAGTCTCTCAAAATACCTTGTATTGTACTAACCCTTCTTATGTGATGCCTACACGGTGAGCCATGTGAGGTAAATGACGCAGACTCCTAACAGCATTAGGAAGGGTTACCTGAACACTTGTGACAAGACACTCCCAAGTCACTAACAGGTAGGTGGCAGGTAATATATACCCATGGCGACATGAACAAGGGATGATACTGTCCCAGCAGGTCAGTGTGAGAGTTCAACATGCTACTTGCAACAGCATACAATTTAAAATGTATGCACTTTGATTTCTGCAATTTTCCAATGAACAGTTTCAGACTGCTGGTAAGTAAACCCATGGATATGGGAGACTACTGTTCTCAGTTACAAGCTGTGGGGACGGGAGCCAACACAGAAGCTTTCAAGCCTCTTCCCCGCTGATTAAAGGCACACCCCAGAGCCAGGGGTTCAGCTCAGTGTTAGGCTAGGCCCTCAGTTGAAACCTTGGCACCACAAAACAAATATAATAAAGGCATGCTCCTTTGAAAAGATGCTACTTTAGAACAGTGTTCTCAATTAAGAGTGATGATTCTGCTCTTCAAGGGGCATGTGCTGAAGGCTGAAGACTTTTCTTTTGTGTTTTTGAGACAGGGTCTCTCTGTAGACCCAGATAGCCTGGAACGTGCTATATAGACCAGGTTGGTCTCGATCTCACACAGATTCACCTGCCTCTGCCTCTGCCTCTGCCTCCTGGATGCTGGGATTACTGGTGTGCACCATCCTGCCCAGCTAAGAATGAAGACTTTTAAAAAATATATTTTTAAAAATTTTTGTGTATACAGGCATGGTTGGCACTCACCTTTAATCCCAGCACTCGGGAGGCAGAAGCAGGCTAATCTCTGTGAGTTCAAGGGCAGCTTGTCTCAAAAAGACAAAAAAAAAATATGAATGTGTGTGTGCATATATATGCAGGCATGTGTACCTGAGTATAGGTGCCCTAGGAGACCAGAAGAGGGTATCGGATCCCCTAAAGCTGGAGTTAGAGGCAATTGTGAGCCCCCTGACAAGGGTCCTGGGAACCTAACTCGGGTCCTCTATTAAGAGCAACATTTGTTCTTAACCACTGAGTCATCTCTCCAGGTCCCTTTTTTTAAAAAAGGGTCTCACTATGTAACTCTGGCTGGCCTGGAACTCACTATATAGACCAGGCTGGCCTCCAAGTCACAGAGATCTGCCTGCCTATGCCTTCAGAGTACTGGAATCAAAGGCATATGCCATCATGCCCGAGCTGTTTCTTTTTTATTTTTATTTTATGTAAATAAGCATTTTGTGTACACATATGTAAGTTCACTTACTATGTGTGTGCAATGTCATGGAGGCCAGAAGAGAGTGTTGGATCCCCTGGAATTGGAGTTAAGGATGGCTGTTAGCCACCGTGTAGGTGCTGGGAACCTAACTCAGGTCCTCTGCAAGAGCAGCCAGCACTCTTAAGCAGAGCCAGCTCTCTAGTCCCTTGTATTTTTTTAATTGTCAGAATCTTGGGAGTACTACCAGCATCTAATGGGTAGACCCCTAACTCTACACACAGCCCAGACAGCCTCCACAACAAAGAACTGTCCTCAAAACAAAGAGCTAAAGTTGAGAAACTAGCTTTCAGGAGAAGCCTGCTGGGGGTGAGCCAGGGAGCTGGTTCGCTTTTGGAGAACTTCAGTAGAAGCAAGGGCAGCTCTAAACAGATGTTCTCCACAGCTCCTTCCGGGTCTCAGTCTATGAGGAAACAGCACAGGAGCACAGCTAATGGAACAACTTGGACAGAATAAAAAAAGCTTGTTAAAGAGGCAGTCATGGCCAGACGTGGTGGTACACGCCTTTTTAATGCCAGCACTTGGGAGGCAGAGGCAGGCAGAGCTCTGTGAGTTCCAGGCCAGCCTGGTCTACAAAGCAAGTTCCAGATCAGCTGGGGCTACAGGGAGACCCTGTCTCAAAAAGACACCCCCCCCTAAAAAAAGAGGCGGTTGTGGTGGCTAGCCTGGGCTACATGAGACCCTGTTTCAATAAACAAACAAGCAAAAGACTGTGTTGAAAGCTAAGAGAGCAGTGTAAATGTAAACATCTACTGTACCAGCTGACAAAGCATTAACTCTCCAGTGAAGTCAACATGTTCTGAACATGAATGTGACATGACCTAGTGGTTTACATTTTCCTAAACTGCTACAGCAGTCAGGCAACTCTAACATGCAGTACTGTTCCATTCAGCTACAACACACATCCTAGCTGTCAACAATGACAGTGGTATCCAGATGAATGTTAAATTTATTTCTGCCCCACCTGGTTCCCTAGTCAGCTGGGGAGTGTGGTTTATACTCTACCAATATATTCCATTCTGTTTTATCCCATGATTCCCACTAATTGGAAATGTATTCTACCAAAGGGAAAATGCACCCACTGGATTGTAATAAATATTACTAAGCTTAGGCTGAAGAGATAGCTTAGTGGTTAAGAGCACTGGCTGCTCTTATAGAGAACCCAGGTTTAGTTCTCAGCACCCACACGGCAGCTAACAGTCATCCTTACTCCAGTTCCAGGGGATCCAATGCCCTCTTTTGGCTTCTACAGGCATTGCATGCATGTGGTGCACTTACATGTAGGCAAAATACACACGCATATAAAATAAAAAATAAAAATAAATACTTTTTTAAAAATTTAAAAACTTGGGGTTAGAGAGATGGCTCAGCAGTTAAGAGCACTGACTGCTCTTGCAGAGGACCTGGGTTTGATTCCCAGCATCCACATGGCGGCTACGAACCATCCTTAACTCCAGTTCCAGGGGAATCCAAA